CTGGGAAGGCAAAGCAAGGAAGCAGGTTTAGGAGTGGCTAGTCTGAGGCATTTGGGTGGGCTCTGGGGCATAGGAGTTGTCCCTCATTGTCCAATACCTGGCCCTGGGGTGGTTAGGGTAAGCAGACAGTGGCCAGGAGTGCGGGAGCCACATAAAGGAGGTTGGGGTGTGGGCTTTGGATTGGTCAGATTGCTTAAGAAAGGCGTGCTTGCGGGCTGGTCTTCACTATCTCTAGATATTGGCTAGCTCTGGGAGGGACAGTCCCTCCAGCATCAGCAAGGCCCCAGATGTCAAACATCAGAAAATAAAAAGACATGATGAATACAAAAGTCTCAGCTCAAGGTGGGAATTGAGGATCAGGAACCAGCAACAGAGTCAAAGTGCCGGCAGCCCGGAAGATAAGAAATGTTTATGTGGAGATCTACTATTCGCCAGAGAGGACCTTGGGGCTGTTTCAAAACACTGCCCACACATGGGCTCACTGTAGCCTCTGCCGTCTGTCTGTCTTCAGGGCAACACCTGATGTTGCTCAGAAACGGAAAATTGTGTTCCCAGCTGGAACATCTTGTCTCTCGGTTTCCCCGTAGCTCACATAACACAAAAATTAAGGGCAAGGGGCTGTCCGAAGGATTTTTAAAATTAGTGAATTTACATTAAAAACTTTACAAAGATATAAAACCTACATCACGTTCGACTGCTACGTTTAGCACTTCATCTCCCTTCCAATGAATAAAATAACGATCATCTGAACTAGTCCCGAAGAAAGCCCAGACCTAACTCAGCCTGTTCCTCTGGCTACATGGAGGTCTGGTTTCTATTAGGTGATGGACAGACCCGGCGCCCCCTGCCAATGAGCTTCGGAGGAGAAGGCAGCCACAGAGGGAAGCTGCCAGGCCAGAAGCCGGGCACACACACAAGATGCTAATGTGCAAATCCACCACGGAGGACCAGCCCGCTTCCCTGGGCTCTCTGACTCAGCCAAGTCCAGCTGAGCTGTTAAACAGAGCCCATCAGTGACAGGAAGCCCGGCCAGCCCAGAGCCAACACGGCTGGTCTAATGAAAAGGCCTTTGGCTGGTAGCACCAGAGGCGACAAGTACAAGCCTCTGGGACGTCTGAGGCCTCCTCCATCCCCTTCCTCTGCGGTCTTGGCAACTGCGCTTGGTCCAGCACGAAGAAATGCTGAAGCAGCAGGACAGCTCTGACCCTGAGTTTACAATTCAGAGAGCGCTGGAGAAAGCAGAGCTGTCGGTTCCTTCCCAGCCTCCCATCAGGGAGTGAGGCAACAAACCCGGGGGCTTTGCATCCTCACCCATTTTCATAACCATCAAACATTTATGCCGCCCCTCCAGGCCGGGCACTGGGCGCAACGCAAAGCATAAAATCCAGGCTCTGCCCTTTGCAAGCTCACGGACCAGAAAGGGGATGAAGTCAGCACACAAGACCCAGGCAGACAGGGAAAGGGAGTCAGAAACGGTCTCATGGGGAGGCAAGGAATCTCCCCTCAAACCAGCAGCGCCCTAGAGCTGGTTGGACCGGACTGTGCTGGGAGCTGGGGCTAGTACATCCTCCCTAGCCTCGGGAGTAAAGGAAGGCATGCAAACAAACACCCCCCAGCCAGTGCTGTATGTACAGGGATCGCAGTGGGGATGAGTCACAGAAATAGCATAGTGGAGCGTTTGAGCTGGGTTTTTATTTATTTATTGTAAAGATTTCATTTATTTATCTGACAGAGAGAGACACAGCGAGAGAGGGAACACAAGCGGGGGGAGTGGGAGAGGGAGAAGCAGGCTTCCCACGGAGCAGGGAGCCCGATGCGGGGCTCGATCCCAGGACCCTGGGATCATGACCTGAGCCGAAGGCAGATGCTTAATGACTGAGCCACCCAGGCGC